TAGTGTGGCTCTACCTGCCTAAACTCTTCAGAGGCATCCACGTGAGGCCCACATGTGGTGCCCAGGACCCATCACCTCTAGTGCGGGCCTGGACAATGGTTGACAATGGAACTGAGCCAGATATGATTCTTTGGGCTTTCTCGCTACGACATTCTAACAGGAAACAGATCTCACAGAAATGGACACATTCAGCATATTGAAAAAGAAAAAAAAAAATTAAAGAAAAGTACTCAACATAAATCTGTGTATAGATTTTACTTTCAATAAAGCCTATGTTAAAGCCTATTTTACCTCTGGTTTCTAGTGAGCCAAGAGTAGAATCAATAGGTAGGGCCACCCTGACATTGCCCGGGGGAAAAGAGCAAAAGACGCCGCCTGATTCATCCACTGCCATGACTAACCTTCATTTCTAGCCACTTGGATGTCATCACCAATGTTCAAGGCTGTAGGATTCTTAAGTTCAGCCAGAAATCTTTGAAAAACTGTAGAACTTTCTGACCTTTGGGAACGTAGTCAGCATTTCTGGCCTGTATCCTTTTTAGCCAACTAAACCAAGGCTGTTTCTAATCAAGTTCAAATGAAAGCCTGACCCCACTGTGGGGCCTGTGGCAGAGAGACCTTCGCTCCATGCCAGAGAGATAGCTCGGTTCCCACCTACAGGAGTCCCAATGCAGGTTTCAGATTTCCTTGAGTCAGAACAGTAGGCTTCCAGCATGAGGTCAAAGGTCAGGGTTCTTCTATATATGTTCCTATATTTATTTTCCTATAAATACTATTTACTTTTATACTTCCTTTTTGGGGTTTCTAGGTATTAAAATAGGATTTTAGGTGTGGTTTATTTTATTCTATTTACAACAATCATTCTTGAATTTGTGCAAGAGAATTATGCAGAGCATTCTTTAATAAACACCAACTCCAGGGTTCCTCACCTGGGTCACTGAATCCAAATTTCCTGGAATTTGCATTTTTTCAATACAAAGCTCCTGGTGATTCTCATGCCCAGGATTTATAGTCTAGTTCCCTTCTGTCCTGCCTTTCTGCTTTCCTTCCTTTTTTTTTTTTTTTTTCTTTGCTGTGGGCTGTACTCAAAATCTGAACACCACAGATAATAGCTTTGGAAGAGAGACAACATTCTCAATTTCAAACCACCACCAATTTACAAATCACATTTTGGAAGAAATCTGTCTGTAAATCTGAAACATTTTTATGACTAGTAGCATGGTAAACAATTTCAGAAATCAGAATTAGAAAGATGGTTATATTCCTTCTTCTTAAAGATATCTATGGAAGGCACAGATGGCTAACTGCAAATTCTTGTGCATTAGTTGAAGTCTTTCAGAATGGCCAAACACAAAGAATTAAGACATGACCTAAATCCAATAGGCACTTAAATTTTTTAGCTAGGTTGCTATAATTTGTGTGTGTGTGTGTGTTCTAAAAAAAATGACCCAGATTTCCCTTCATCCCCCTTGTGGGAATTCTCCTTGTTCTTTAATTACTAATCTCTGTTGCTCCTTCAGGTTCTCCGAGTTACTCTTGGATGGCCAGCAGGGACTCGAATAACTTCACGGTACAACAGTACGAAAAAATGATACAGTTTACAAGCAGTCATGTACTTCTTTAGGAGAATCTAATTGCTGGGGAGGGAATTAGATGAGTGGACCCAATTCTAAAGACCTGAAGACTGATGCTCTGCTTCAGAGAGTTTCCTTTAGAATTCCTTTATTTAGCATTTCTGCTGCATCTGATCTGTAGGCAGTTTCCGGGAATCCTATTATATAAAGATCAGATTCTGCATGTAATAATCTTGAACCCACTCATATTCTCTTTTATACTCTTCCCCCCTCCGCTCTGAATTTGTGAGTGGTTTTAGTTCACCTTCTTTATTAAGTTGCTCCTCTGCTCTTTCTCTGAAGTTGGACCCTTTAGTCGAATATTTCCAGTTTTTCCATTGAACAATCATGTTTCTGGAAGATTGAATGATGCCCTATTTTTACCCTTTCCTATATCTGTGCTCTTTGCTACATAATTCTGAAGCTCCTTCCACTAATGGCTCTGTCTGTCTCCTCCCTGTGGGTGTGGCATCGGTCATTGACTTGCTTCGGCTAGTGGTTTATGGGTAGTTTCTGAGACTTGTTTCTGCTCATTCCTTTTGCCTCTGTGCCGCTGCTGTACAAAGAATTGTGGTATCTCATTAGTGCAGGGAACACCGTGCAGACTCTAACTGCAGCTTAGAGTCACTTGGTCAAGCTCAGCCAAAAGGAGCAGAGCCAGAGCAGCCAATCCACATGCACCTTGTAAAACTGTAGGATGCTTGTGTTTACAACAAGCCTTTAGAGTGTGACTATGACTGTGAGAGAGAACCAAACTACTTTTGACCACAGGAACTGGCTTAGGGGACTAGTATCCTTTAAGGAGAACTGTGGGTAATACTTTCTTCCCTTGGCACGGAGCTGAAAGAGTCTAAATACTGTAGTAGAGAAACTGTGAATAAACTGAGGAGAAGCAGAAATCAACCTCCAGAGTGGGGAGAACCCCTCCTGAGGAGGCCTGAGGTGGAATGGGAGCTAACAGGCAGCACCTACAGAAATGCATCTTCTAGGAACACACACAGTCCCTCCCCAGCAAACCATCAGTCCACTTGACCACTGCACAGCAAAACCTTGACTTTGCCAGAAGGAAATGTCCCCTAAGCACCCCACTGCCATCCTTTTAGGCTGTTATGACTGCTTTGTCTCTGACTGGGTATCTATCTCTTAAGTGGGTTCTAAGAGATTATGTGCATACATTGAGAGAGCTTTTGTTTACTCAAAAGATGAAAAGAGGATTTCTTTATTTTTCTGACTATGGCCAGGCCCACCTGAACAATAAGCCAATCCCAAACCCTCACACTCACTCTAGTGGTCAATTTAGCCAACACTTGAGTTTCAATTTAAGACTCTATCTGTGGGTGATGGCTCACCCCACAGGGGAGATTTACCTGCTATAAGCCAGCATAACTACATATTTATATTCCAGTCGAGATGCAACTACCAATTTAGTAGGGGAAAAACATCTTCCAATGCCACTTAGAGAAAAACAGATCATAGCACCGATCTATTTTCCAAATCCATTTTGACTTCCATCTATAACAACATCTACTAAATGAAATGGGTGTATAAATCAGGCTCAAGGAAGAAAAGATAGCCAGGTTAGCTTTTTTTTTTTTTTTTTTTGGTTAATTATGGTAAATTCAATTTTCTGCCAACCAGGTATAAACAGCATATGTACGCTGACTACCCCATATTGGAGGGGTCCTGGGATTCTCATCCTGTTTCTCCAGTCCTGCCTGGAATTCCTCAGCAAGATGACACCAGCCCACCCAGAACTAGAAACCAGGCCCGTTGTCCTTGTTGTGAACAGACCTTGCCTAGACCACTCAGTTCCTAGGATTTTGTCAAACTGGACTGGCAGTGATCTACCAGGCTGCTTCTGCCAGGCTGGGGTCTCCAAGGCACAGTATATTCAACCCCAATTCTTTCTTTCAACAAGTAACTATGGAGCATCTGCTTTGTGCCAGACCCATATGCTGTGATTATGTAAACCCAGTAAGAAAGGGACAGGGAAATGACAGAACTCTTAACAAGAGGAAAGACAAAGAGATGCCATCATGTGTCAACTCTCTCTGCAGTGGAAAGCACCATGGATTTACCATATTGAGATAAACAAACCCTCTATAAAAGCATTCAGGGTGACCTTTTCTTCTCCAGTTCATTGTCACTAGTCCTTTCCTCATCTGTCTAAGAAGCAACCAGCTTAGCCACTGTGAGTTTGTTCATCCCGCCTCCATCCCTACCTATCTTTGGGGTTTTAATAGGAAGTCCTTTTCTTTCTGGAGTCAGGAGGTACTTGTTCTCACAAACGTGGCTCCTGTATTTATAAGATCAAAATTTTCTCTTTCCCAATGATTGAGATTATATAGAGAGTATAATGGCAATTAGTAGTTTACCTGGTACCCTTTGAATTCTAAGAAAAAGTGTGTGTGTATGCACTGATATGTTTATATATTTGCACAACTACTCTATACAAACTTCTTAGCAGTTTTCCCACAAGCAAAGGTTAGCCTAGCTATTCTACACACTCTTTAAGGGACATTGAGGCCCAAGCAAAGTAGGAACATAGGCCTTTGGGGCTAGAGTCAGTCTGCTTTTCCTTCTGGTGACATTACCCATCATATCTTAAAAGAACTTATAACCTTAGGAAAAAGAGACAAAGCTCTCCAGAGTGAAATTTCAAGCAGATGGAGTGGGGAGGAGGGAGAGATTTGGTTCTAAGCCATCGAAATGACACTCACCACCCTCCACCCACATCTCATATCTCTGGTTTAATGTCCTGGGACTGGCATGGCTACAGTTCTCAAGTGGAAACCTACATTTTGGCTCCTGTGTAGCCTGGCCAGCCACTGGCTACAGGAAGGTCACTTATTTCCAAGAATGAAAGTACCATAAAGAAAGCAAGACTGAACAGTGAAAATAGATAATACAAAGTTAATGTGGGGAGCAATTAGCACATAACCCAAAAGGATACTCATTCAACCTCTACTCTTTATTTCAATTCTAAGACCTTTGGCTACAGTTTCTCCACTGAAAATTGTTCAAATGTAGAAAATTTGAAAATGGACTCAGGACAACAGCAATAACTAACAACCAGATCCAAAGGAGGAAAAAGACCAATGCTAACAACTTCAAAGGGACTTCCATGTAGGGGCAAGCAGTTTGCAACACCCCATTGGCCCACGAAGACCTCAGTGTGCCGCATTACAAGCCAACACAATTTTTCATACTCAGGTCGATAATTGTGGGTTATCTGGAAAATTGTGAATGATATCAATGTACTCTATTGTGGAAAACAATTCTAGAGTTCTGGAAAAGGTGATGGCATTGAGCACAACCCCTCGTGGAAAGTAGTGGTTAATGCGCTGTGAAGCTAAACATGGGGTCCCTAGGCTGGAAACCACCTACCTTTGAATGTTATCTTCAAGTTGTTTAACTCTGAACTCATCCTCCTCAGACTGTCGCTTCCTGGCTTCCTCCTCTTCGGCAGTTCCAGCAGGTATACCCTGTAGCAGCCATTTTTCCCGAAGTAATTTGGACTGTGAGATTGAATGAAAGAAAACCCTAGATGAGACTTTGGTGTCACCCTCTGCTCCATCAGCAGGGCAGCACCTTCTCTGTCCCACCCTGTTTCGGCTCTGCCCACCATCAGTGTTCCCCTGAATCTCTGCCTTCACCTTCTCACTAACTGGGCTATTTCCCTCTAACCCAATCTTCAATCTTTAATGATTCCCAACCATCCTTAGCAGTAGTCTTAGACTCATGCACCCAAGCCATGTCACTGTCCTAACATACTGTAGAATGAAACAGTTTTTGTGTTTAGGTCAGTGGTGGGGAGGAAGTAATCACTTCTTTGAGAAAGAAAATGAAAAAAACTCATGAGAAAGGCATGGGGAAACTCACTAAAATGAACAACAGGCAAGGAAGATGTGAGAAAGGATTTCCTGGGGGGGAGAGGAAGGAGCTCCTTTACATGGTCCCTAGAAGACAGATGGCAGCTACTGGATACTCACAGAACTCTTAGACTGTCCTTAAATGATTTGTTTTCATATCTGCTCATCCTCTAGCCTCCCAGCTCCTCCAAGGCTTGGACTGCCCCTTATTCACCTTTACATTGTCACTCCTAGCCCTGTTCCAGTGAATGATGAGCAGTTCATACTTTTTTTTTTAAAGATTTTTTGTTTTAAAGATTTATTTATTTATGCATACAAGAGCTGGGGCACAGCCAGAAGCGTGGGAGGGTGAGAGGATTCACCAGAGGCAGAGCAGGGAGCAGAACAGGCAGACAACAGAAATACACTGCTGAAGGGAGCAGCAGGTGCAACAGGAGAGGTCTGCCGTGCCATGTGGGATTCTCACCAGCCAGCTGGCCAGCTGGGATTGAACCGGCACTGCAGAGGCTGCAGACAGCTCCACAGCACGGTGCTCAACCTGCTGCGCCACCGGGGAGGCCCAGTTCATACTTTTATAATAAGTAACCCTTAATCCCACATAAAAATGAGAAAATATGGAATTGTGTATCTTGCTTTTAAGAGGTGTAGAAAGGCAACTATCATGGATTTCACAATGTTAGAGACATACCCCACTGTCTAGTTCGGTGGGTGTTTTCTTTCACTCTAATTACCTCTTTCAGACTGCTTCCTGTGCTAAAATGTTTGAAATTAACCTACTTCAATTCATAGGAGGTAAAATCCTTATTACTTTTTTGGGAGATGGATACACTGGCAACCTTGGTCTTAATGTGTGGATCCTTCTGGAAAGGCAGCCATGGACATGACAGCCCTAGCTGTCTCTGCCCCAGCAGGGATGCTCTACAGCCCGGCTTCTTGCAGCCTGAGGAAATGGCTCATCTTAGGAAATGTTCTCTCTGCTCTTCTTCACACAATACCTCCAGCCACCATGGGAGGGTCGAACACTGTCCTTTCTGCTGATGTAGCCTCAACCACCAATTAGTACCTCTGGCAACTGAAGTTAACTGAGATAAACTGGTGACTGTAAGTACGGGTAGCATATGTGTCCCTAGATCTGTCTCTTCTCTGAATATGGCAGAGGAAGAGCTAGGGAGAGAAGGGCTAACATGACAAGGTCGTAGAACTGGTCTCAGGGAAGTCTGTTTCAACAGAGAAGTTTCGGCTTTCAAAAACCAAAAAAGCATAGTTGGGTTTTCACTTGCCCCCAAAGTAATGCTGTTGGGGGAAACCACCAATTCAATACATCTGCCTCTAATTCTGCCTTAAACTATTCCAGAGGCCCATTGTCTCTGAGGACTGATGGTGTTAGAGTCAAAGCACGAGCTTCCCAGTACTGTTCTGGCTCTTCCGGCTGGCTTGAGTGTTTCAGAATTTAGTGACGAGCAGAGCTCAGCAGAAGTGAAAACTCAAACTTTTTTTTGGCTCTTATTATCTAAATAACATACACCAAAAAATGTATCACAGCTTACAGGTGCTAAGAACTATCAAGAATTCTTATTTGTCAAGTGGAGGCAGAGAAGGAAAGGGCCGACAGAAAGCTGGCAGCTGGACAAACAGAGCTCTGACAGGGGTAAGACAGAGAGACTCCTAAAGTAAATCTGCTTCATGCTGTATGGGCCCTTCCAGCCTTGGAAAACAAAATTAGAACAGAACCTCCTAAATGTCAGTAGACACAAGGACCACCAGGAGATCCACTCGAGGGCCGCACCCGCAGAGATGCTAATACTGTAAAGTGCAGGGTAGGGCTTGCAATCTGGATTTTAATAAGCTCCAGGTGACATTGTCTTTGAGGCTGCTGGTCCATGGATGGCAATTTGAGCAGATGCAGATGAACCTGCGAATGCACCCAAAAGCCTGAAGAATGCATGAGCATTCCTGCTGGCTGGCCAGACACAGTGATCCAAGATGGAATGCTGTATCCTCTGGGAAACCCGCCTCTCTTCCTGCATCCCCATCTCAGGAACAGTGACTCAATGAAAGTAAGGACTTTCCAAGCTATGTCTTCAGGGTCTGGCACCTAGGGATGGATGCAGGAGCTACTATTGAGTAACTTACCCATGGTCACACATCTAGAAAGTGTGCATTTGATATCTGAAGCCAAAAGGTGCACTCTGCTATCCACCTCTGCTTACCATCAACTAAGAATCTTTTTTTCCCCCTTAAGTAGGATTTACAAAATCACTGGTTGCTACTGACCTACTTCCTAACAGGGACAACCACTTCTAGAATGTCTAACAGCAGATCCTATATGGGTGATCTCTCTCCCACTCACCCCAAGTCCCCCAGAATAGCTGCTGTATCTTTCATTTGTCCACAAAGGCTGGCATGATGACATGAGGATAATAAATAACTGTCAGATGAATGAATTACCAGAAAACTATGCATATGTGGTATATACACTGTGTACCCTGACTGCCTGTCCAATATTTTTAATTTTAAGTTGGCTTTTCACACATACTAATAATCAGGAAAAGTCTAAAATGAGTACCAAAGGTTCACAATAGTCAGAGGCACTGTAATATCTTTGCAGCAAGGTTCCTAATACCTTCAGGTTATTCAGAAAATGACCTTGGTGGCTTGACAATAAATATCTCCCTGGGTCACTCTTTAGTCTAATTTTTTTTATTCAGTCTTATCGAAAGGAAAGACTGGTTTTTAAAATATACTGATAATTTTCAAAGCTTGTACTAGAAGAAAACTCTATTCAGGGTTCCCAGCTCATATATAAATAATTCAAAGACAGCTTATATATTGAAGATATGGTATTAGCAATTTGATAGTGCTGACTTCGTGACACAAACCTTTATAAATATGACAGTCCCTGAGGAATTCATGTGGCCTTGTGTGTTGAGTGCCTACTCTGTGCTGCAGCTTTGAACAGACCAATAAAATAGACAAATCTCTGGTAATCTAACCAAGAGGAAAGAAGGACTATTAAATTTAGTCTGTTCTAGTATATAATGCAGTCATTGATTTATTCTTTTAACTCACATTATCACAAGTCACATAATAAAAACAATAAAAATAAATAATTGTTTCCATGGAATAAAAAGCCAAGACAATTTCTCAAAAGAAGAATAATGATGGTTATTGCCTTATGAAATATTATAATATATTAAAAAGCGAGAGGGATTAAATGAGGATGATATTGGCACAGGAATAGCAGGTTAATGTAATAAAAAAAATCTACAAATAGCAGACTTGAGTATAAGCGAAAAATATATATGTGATAAAGAAGGCATTTAAGTCACTGAGGAAAAGGGTGAATTAAGCAATAAATCATGTTGAGACAACTGGCTCACCATTGGTGAAAAATAAAGTTCTATTCCTACCTCACATTTTATACGAAAATAAATTCTAGATGGATTAATAACATTGAAGTATAGAAGCAGCATGTTAAGAGCTTAGATGGAATGCTCTTTCCAAGGATGATATCAAAGTCAGAAATCATGAAGTAAATGAATGTCAGTTGTGATTTCACAAACAAATTATGAATTTTTGTTTGTTTAGTTCAAAAATCCAACAATTAAAAACCAAAAAGAGGTAAAAGTTAATGTGTTTTGGATACTAACGTTAATATAATTTTATTTTATTCATAGTCTGATGAGGCCTGTGAATAGGGTTATATATCTTAATTTGTAGAAATAAATAGATTGGGGGAAAAGTATAGAAGGATTTACCTCTATGTGGGTTATATAGCTGAGTGGTGAGAATACAGTGGATATATTTTTTTCTTTACATTTTCCTATACTTTTGCAATTACAATATAGCCCTTGCTTCCATAATCAGTAAAAATAATACAGCTATTAAAAATTGCTTACTGGTTCCATATGTGACTAGTTCTTGGAAAATTACATCACAAATATCAAATACTAAATATAGCTAAAGATCTTGTAAAAAGAAATCTGAGTTTAATTTGGCCAGAACTTCAAAGTACCCAAAGGTTCCCTAATTATCAGGGTGCACACTGGTCCCTCACTGCATTATAGGATTCATTGTCCACATATCCAGCAATCAAACTCTGCTTTGTGTAGTTAGTCACTATAAAAACCCTATACTGCAGTTAGTAACTATTCATTAAGTATATAAGTATCAAATTTGCTATCTTGCACTCTATTTATTTGCTTTGAAAAATACTGATTCTATCTAAATAATTCATACCTCATTGCATGAGAAAAAGTATCCACAGACTATTTGATGAGAATTCCATCTTAATAAATATAAAATCTAATTCTAATGCTTTTCCACTTAACTTTGCACTGACTTTTTTTTTCTAAGAGAGCATCTGGGATTTTGTGAATTGGTGAAATAAATATTAATTACTGATATGTTTCCTAATATTTTCTATTTGAAGGAATTACCAGTAAGCACTGTGGCAGTCTCCACATGGTCTAAATTTTCTGGAGTTTGTGAAAATAAACTTAGGGTAAAAGAGACAGCAATGATGGTAACTGGCATCTCTCTAGACAAATTATTCAACAGGAAATGTTTCATTTGAAGAAACAGTGTCCTGGGGAAATCAGGGTCACAGAGGCAGAATGCCCTGGGCTTCAACCTAGCCCCCCCACCTGCAGCCTCTAAGTTCTTGGGCTGATTACTTGAGCTTGCAAGTTTGTTCCCTGAGCTGTTAGACTGAAGAGTAGTATCTACTCTGCGGTCAATATTGAGGGGACACATTTAAAGTACCAGGCACATGTTAGACATTCAAAACAATCCTCACTATTATTGAGGATGGACAAGGGGAGGACAAGTCTGCCAGCTGCTGGGAGAAAGCCAGCTGATTGTCCACCAAGAGGCTCTAGAGAAACTATAACCTCAATGAATTTACTCCCATCCAGGGATGAGGCTGCCAAGCCGGAAGCTGAATAATGACTCATGCTATTCAAGTTCAGTCAATAGTCAACTGCTTTAAAGGCACCTTTCTGGTGCCTGAAGTGATTCTATCTCTTTATCAGGCACCACTTTTCTTTTACTCAAATAACTCAGTTATTTTGGAGAGGAGAGACTCAGAACATAGAGAGAGAGTTGGAAGGGAAGTTTCTTCTGGGCCACTGAAGCCGATGACTCTTCTGGCCTAACTGCAGACCCCACCTCACCAATGCATAGAAACTTGGCACCTCCCACAGCTGGGGTTTCACTCCAGTGTGGTATCAGATGGGCCATTTTGGGGACCTCTGAGTTTTCCTTTCTCCTTTTCAAGGCTGGCAATCCACCCTCATTCTGTCTACACTAGCCTTGTCCAGAGGGCAGAAAGTTACAATGCATTGGTTTTCACTTATAAAATTACCATCAGTTCCAGTTCTTTCTCTTCCAAACTACAGCAAGATTACCATGGTGAAAGTTCTTAAATAGCCAATCTCATCAACTGTGTGAGAATTTTACCAGGGTAACCATAAAGAACTATCTGATTCCCTTGTTTCCAAGTTCTTGAAGGAGTTACACTACTTTCCCATGCAACGCTGTCATGTTTATTTTTGTCTCTCTTAACTGGGTAGGTGGATAGCTGGCTAGGTGAGCGCACTGATGTATTCATTGATGAATATATGGATGGATGGATGGATGGATGGATACATGAATCATTAATACACAGGTGAATGGATGCAAAAATGGACAGATAAAACATGAATAGAATGTTTCAATACTGTGCTAGATATCAGCAGTGAATGAGCCCCTGGCATCTTTTTTGGCACTCATAATGAAGAAATGTGGATTACCTGGCCGTTGATTCAAAGAATGCAAAAGCAAAGAACCACAGTGAGCTTGAATTCACTGGGGTTTTAGTTCATTTTCATCTCTGATAAGGAGAGAGTTGATTGTACTCTGAGCCAGAGGCTCAGCTCTGCTCAGATTGACCTTGAACAATTCATTCAGTTCTGGAAAGTGTTTTAAAGCCTCCCTCTCTGTAAGAAGAGGATACTAATCTCAGCCCTCAACCCTCCTCCAGGAATGTTGTAAGACAAGAGCAACAGCATATGGGATATGGCACAACCTCCTACAAAGAAAGCTCCATGAGAATTTACATGATGAGCAGAGAGAAACAGGCAACAGCCTCAGTGTTCTGCTGCTTTTCTTCCTTTTTAAATGCACTTCTCTGATTAAAGTTAATGGAAACAGATAAATACGCTAAGCAGATTTAGGTCATACTGTTATTTGAGACCTGTAGTTGGCTTGCTGATGATTCACATTTTGAGGATTCATTTAGCACAATTCAGTCCTCTACAGAATAACAGGAAAGACAACCATAAAGATTCACCATGTTTTAGAAAAAAAGTCCAGATAATGCCAGCCCTCTGATCAATGCATTACATATGTATAATGTTGCAGCAACTTGAGGTGAGTGGGAGGCTCTCCTCAAAATGCCCAGGAGCAGTGGAAGGTGAAAGCGGCTCCTGGCTGGCCACTGGGATGTGATCACATTATTCCTGAGCCTGCAGAAAGCAACATTTTGCAACCAGTAGAGCCCTTGGGACAGTGACAGAGCTTTCTCTTGGGCTGTAATCAATTACCATGCTCAAGTGTATTATGTTTTAAAGAAAAATAAATCAACATTCTCTGTCTCTCTCTGTCTCTCTCTCTCTCTCTCTGTTCCTCCTTCTCTTTCTCTCCCCCCACCCAGTAATGGAGCCACAACCAACACAAACAATTTCAGTGCTGCCTTTGACCAACTGCTCATTCTGATAGAACACTAGTTAAGTACAAACAAAACAAATGAATAATCTAAAATACCCAGGATTGCTCTTTTACCAGATCAATATGCTTTTATCTCCCTTTCTCCATATTCAGAAAGAAAATATTATTTTGACTTAAAAAAGAACACTATGCTCAATGTATTTATTGGAGCCTCTGGACACACACTCACACACCTATGCACCAGAGACCCAGCCCTGAAACACTGCCTCACCCACCATGTGGAAATCCTCATCCAATTTCTATATATAACCATCACACTTCTCATGCACATGCCACCCCCCACACCCGGTCCACATGCACATTATAATCTTATCATGCTTTCAGAAATTGGAATGCTGTAACAATGCCCTGGATTTGAGAAATTCACAAGAAAAGCCAAGAGATGGTTTCCCAATTGAATGAAAAAGGGCTAGTTCAGCTGGCGGAGCGCCTTCACACCAGGGCAGGCTCTGCCCAGCTCTCTGGAGTGTGATCTGCATGTCTAATAATGGAACAGGTCCGCGGATCAGCCACTTACCTTGGAATGCTGCAGCAGAAGTATCTGCTCGTCAAGCTCTTGCCGCTTGCCTTCTATTTCAGTCTGCCTCTTTCTTTTTTCCTTGAAAATAAAGAGAGAGCGCTATAAGAGTGGGTGGGTGTTGGTTCCAGGAATTTTAAGACAGAAAGCAGCAGCAGCAGAAGCAGCAACAGCAGCAACAGCAGCAACAGCAGCAGCAGCAGCAGCAGCAGCAGCAGCAGCACACATCTGCACAGACACTTCCAGAGATGCTGGGCACATACGCAGTGTCACCTGCCTTTCTGGCTCTGGGTGTGTTGCAAGCAGCAGCATTCTCCTAACATGTCTGCTGTACGCTCGGTGAGTGGGAGAGATTCTCTTCACTCAGCCAAGCTGCAACAATTTAATCCAGAAGGAAAAGCGACTTCTACATATACACACAGGCTCTCGCATGTGTGCACACGCACTCACACACACACACACACAGAGTAATATTCTGTTTGGTGTTAATTTGGAGACAAAGAATAAAACTGTCTCAATTGAAAAGACAGAGTTGCTGTAAACTGCAAAATATGAGAGAATTAAAGAGTGGGAAATTCTAGGGTTAGATCTCTTTCATCCAAACCATCTATATAATGATTTCACAACAAATAGAATGCATTTAATACCATTGAACTATACACTTAAAAATGGTTAAGATAGTAAAGTTTGTTATATGTATTTTACCACAATAAAAAAATGGAAAAATATTTTTAAAAATCATGTATTGGCATAAATAATACAACACAATTTCATATTTTGTAGGACAAATCATCCATCAGATATACCGAACAATGCAAGGTGGACTGCTATCCTTTGCCTTGACGGGAGCGTTTCATGTGGGTGGGGCTTGCTGAGGTCATGATAAAGATGAAGCCTGGAGCTGGGTCTAGCTCTGTCTGGGTCTAGCTACCACATCTACCATTTGCTACCTGAACAACTCCCTGGATCTAAAGTCTCCTTGTCCATAAAAAGGAATTAATAACTGTACCTAGACCATGCATGTATGGGGAACTAGATAAAATGAGATGACATATGTAAAAGACCCAGAACAACGCCTGGTACATAGTAAATGCTCAATAAGTGCTATTTACTCTTACACGTGTTGGCACTTGTTTACTTTTAGGTATGCCTCAAAAGCGATTTCAGAGGGATGTAATCCCCCTTTACTCACAGTATAACCTTTTCATTGGCATGCACATATCACACTTTTCTTCTTCATGCTTTTCAAATGTAGACAGTAAGTAAATCAACGTGATTAATTTAAGAACAGGGCTGCCCCTATGATACCTTACTTGTTTAATGCTTTCTTTCTAAAGTACACTGGGGTGGTTTCCTGAGACGTTTACCGCACTGAATTAGTTCCCTTTACTCACATACTCAGGGAGAAACTTTTTAGGCAAGACATAACAGCATTTTCCAATGCAAAGTTAAATGCTAGAGAAGACACTAATACTAAAGTCAGCTCTGTGTTAACAGGAGCTTTTCTTTTATGGTCTCCTGAGGACACTAAGCATAGGCTTGCAAAACGACTATTCAAGTCAACAGTAATCTGCTTTATCCCCCAATTTTTCTTTGCAATAGAATTTTAAGAAAGAATAGCCTATAATTTCAAGTTATTGGATAATATTCAAGTCAGAGATATAATCTTTCTGCTAAAGTGAGGCCTGTGGATTTTTGGAACAAACCATTTATCAAAGAATGCCAACCAATGGTGCATAACTGTATTGTTTAATCCCAGAGTATGTCCAAGAACATACTGCATAAGACTGTAAACTGGATAAGTGAGGTCTAGTGAGGGGAGCCCATATATCCAACATCCCGGAAACAAGAACCTCCTCTATATTCTAGAAATTTCCAAGAGGAGGTTTACTGGACTTTTTCATTCCCCATTTGCTGTTGAGATATGCGGTTGTCCTACATTTAAATACAGAACCAAGATGTAGTACATGATATGTTAATGACTCAGTATTCCCCAGAACGTTAATTGAATGCCATGTTTGCTGTAGACTGAATGTGTTCCCCAAAATCCATACATTGAAACCTAATTCTTAATGTGATGTTATTAGAAGAGGGGCCCTTGGGAGGAGATCAGGTCATGAGGATGTAGCCCTCCTTTATGGATGGGTTTAGTGCCCTTACAAAAGAAACCACAGAGAGCTCCCTCTCTCCCCTTCCATCTTGAGAAGGCACAGTGAGAAGATGAAAGCATTGCGGATCTTTCTACATTACCTCTTTGAGCACTTTAGCTCTTGATACAGTTAACGATTCACAGAGCTCCCTCTTACTAAGCTATGGGCTTCACAAGGACAACGGTTGTGGCTGATGTATTTAAGCCCAGGCACTGTATGGTGAACACATGTGAGAGGTACTTGATAACTATTTCTAAGTGACATGCTTGCCTCCGCTCATCGTATTTCTGTTTGTTCATATCCTTCATTCAAAGGCATTATAAAACTGTCCTCTTTATTTCAATAGCAATAAAATATATTATTGAAAAAGCATTAGCTATCAGTCTACAAAACCAGAGTGCCTTTCTGGTGCAGACATTAGCTCACATGGACTAGATAGATCATGGTTAATATGCATATAAGAGAAGAGTTGGAAAAGCTAATTCTGGGAAAGAATCACAAAAAGTTCATTCTGGGGAGGAAGACTGGGGGAAGTGGAAATTCCAGAGAAAGCATAATGAGCTGACAGTAGCAAATCATTCAGGGGGAACATGTCTCAAGAGACATCTGGAAGGAAACAATCTCAATCCACTAGGAAGATGTCCAGATTCCTCCACTATCTGGGAAGCCTAGCAAGTCACTTTGATTCTTTGTGTAAATTACATGTTTTCCTTGCAAGTACTTTCTGGAAGTACTGCAATATTAGGAAACTATAAACCTTTAGCATAGTAAAAGCACCCTATAAACAGAGCATGCTCTATTCAAAGGTGTTAGTAAGTGTGAGGGAAAGAAGGATTAAAAGTAGTCAGGGAAGCCTATCTTCACCCTTGTGCAGCTTCAGACAGACCCCCTCTTCTCTCCTGCTGCCTGAGCTGCCACAGGGTAACGGGAATACAAAATGGTGACTAGGGCAGGGATCCTAAGTGAGCCTGCAAGAAACAGGGAGAGAGAGGAAGAGGCTCAACAGGAAGCACAGTAAGAAGCAAAGGTATGGTGTTTCCTCCGCTGAGGCCCATTTCCAACTTGTACTGCTACCGATGGCCCCAGAACCCAGCAGCGGGAAGGCACCAGGAGACCCACTCGAGGAACTGTTGCCATCAAGATATCCCAGAATTTAGATAGCCCAGTTTTTCACTGAATCCTCTGAACACTTTGAGGCAGGTGCCTTTATTATCCCCACTTTATGGATGAGAAGAGAGAAAAGTCAGCTAGAATGAGTAAACATGTCCAAGGCCATAATCTAGGAAGTGATCAAGCAGGGGCTGAAGCCCAGATAGTTTGACTTCATGGTGCTTAATCACAGAGACATGTTTGGGCTATTAACATTTGTTTAGATTTGAGTGAACTCCAGGCAGGACACATGAAACATATACCCATGCCCTTTTCATGTGCATATGCCAAAAACCTTCCAGGACAAATGAGATGTTGAAAAGGCAAGACATTCTGATGTCAAATCTCTCCAACCCCTCAAAGAGAAGGCCACTTACAAAATCTGAGAGCATTTCCTAATTCCAAACGGAAATAGATTGAGTCTGGGTTGGAACCTTTAGCAGTACTGAAGGTGAACCAATAACTGCACTTACTTCAAAGCTGGTAGGAGACATTTCCAAGGGATTGAATCAGCTAATAAGAACAACTGCAAAATATTTCCCTCCCATTTACACTTTTTAGGGTAGTGCTGGGAAATCTCCCAATTTATCACACTGGACTCACAAATAGACAAGAGTCTAAAAATCCAGGGCTGCTAAATATAAGAACTGATTGCTCTAAAATTAGTTGACAGTAAGAGTATGGGGGAGAGGCACCTCTAGATTGATGGTGCAATCCTAGGAGCCTGAGTGAGGTCTGCAGGAATATCCCTCTTCAGGAAGCAGGAGTGAGCACTACATGGAACTCACACTGAGCAGCTTTTCCCACCAGCTCCTCTCAGGCCTTGGTGCAGCAGAGGACTGGGGTGCCACCATAGTTGTGGTCATTGGAAATACAAAGAAAAATAGCGTGCACAAAAAAGAGAAAGAGATCTCAACATGCACATCCTGATGACAGCCAAGGAACACAAACTCCAAGAAATCAGCATAATTCCAAACACAGACATACACACCTTCTCTGACTGTTGTCAATAGTGTTTTTTTGTATTTTTTTTTTTGGTGTAGTTCATTTATTGTTGTGAGGAATTGTCTGTAATTTGAAATAATTGCATCAAAATCTTCAAGTAAGATCTTCAGGGTCACTAATTTGATCCTCCATTTGTCCTACTCTTCTTCCATAGCTCTCTACAGAATCTTAAAATTTCCTTTGTTGATCTTTTCTGCATGCTGCAACTTCCTTATTTTCTTGTTTAAATATTTAATTTCTTTTTTTTAATAATAAATTTTATTTTTATATTCCCCATACAATTGCAGCCCCCCCATTCTGACCCCAATCCCTCCCCTCCCACCCCCGCCCCCCTAAAAGTGTCTCTGGTTCGTAGTTTTTTGTTGATTTTGATTTTCACTTTCTTATAGTTATTCATTTTCCTGGTCCCTTATTTAAGTTTTCTAGATTCCTGCTATGAGTGAGACCATCCAGTATTTTTCTTTTTCTTTTTGGCTTATTTCGCTGAGCATGATCCCTTCCAGTGCCATCCATGTTGCTGCAAATTGCATGTGTTTATCTTTTTTGAATGCTGAGTAATATTCCATGGTATATATGTACCACATCTTCTTGATCCAGTCATCTATTTTTGCGCATTTGGGTTGTTTCCAAAGCTTAGCTATTGTAAACAGTGCTGCTATAAACATAGGGGTGCAGGTGTTCTTTGGAATTGATGTTTCTGTGTCCTTTGGGTAAATACCTAGGAGTGGAATTGCTGGATCATATGGAAGCTCTATGTTTAGTAGGACCAGAAATCTC